TTACAAGGAGAGGCAAAACTGTAAGTAGGCCTTATTTTCGGAGGATGTCTTATTTTCGGGGAAACAGGGTATTTGCAAAAAATTTGTGGGGCCCTAACTATAATTAGAGCCATCACCAGAGGGCATTGGAACACTCTGTTCACATGTGACTGCCAGGGGCTCCTTGGGGTTCAGCTCCTTAGAAGCTCCCTGTGATCTGGAAAATGACGAGACCCTCCTCCCCTCCCTCAGGCTTGGAGCACCAGGGAGGCCATACACTCAGCCCACAATCTGGAGGGGCTCACTGTATTCCCACTAGCCACCGCCTCTGGAAAGGCGGTCTCCATGAAGCGAGACCCTGGCGGGGAGGAGGGAGAGATTCCATGCTAGGAAGCGGGGTGAATGGGAAGTGATCTGCTGTACTCTGCGACTCTCCTGTGTTCGTTAGTGGTGCGGTTCCTCCATGGGTCTGATGCTGAGTGGGGAGGGAGTGTCTCCCACCCCCGCCTTACCAGCTCACCACCCTTGGTGCGGAACTGAACTACAGGCTATGGGAGATCTGTGGGCCCCAGCATGTGGGTGGGTGAGCCGGAAGGGCTGCTGAGAGGAGGGAGAGTGCTGTGGGAGCTGATGGCACCGAGTACTGGTGCAGGGGGTTCTGGGACAGAGGACGGGTTGATTCCTAGGGTTGGGGGAGGGAAAGTGCCACCACGGGAGGCAAGAGCTGCAGAGCCAGGGGAATGGGGCTTAAGGGCCGTCTGGGGAGCGGTGCTGCAGGGGGCTGACAGCTGTGGGTTACCCTGGCGTCTGCAGCATTACGATGAGGAGGAAGAGGAGGATGATGAAGACGATGAAGACAGTGAAGAGGATTCCGAGGATGACGAGGACATGCAGGACATGGACGAGATGAACGATTATAACGAGTCCCCGGACGATGGGGAGATCAATGAGGTACGTTGGGGTGGGGCCTGGTGAACCTCAGCAGCTGAGCCACTCTCGCGTCCACAGATCCCAGTGCGTGGGGGAACACGCAGAGAGGTGGCTGGGATCTGTGGACGCGACACTACCCAGCTACGTCCATCTCCCAGCAGGGAAAGCAGCGATACCCAGGCAGGGGAGCAGGACAGGTCAATCTGGGAGTTTCCCCTAGCACCCCCGAGCCCCACGTGAGAATGAGCTGCCTGATCATCCAACCCCAGCTCCAGTCTCTGTTCCTGACACTGGGCTGATGAAACAACCTGTACAGATGGCTCACAGGACCCCCCATCGCAGGGGTCTCCAGGCAGCTTCCTCTCACTTTCTCAGCCCTGCTGGTAAATCCCTCCCTCTTGCTGCAGGAACCCTGTCGGGAGCTGGGAGAGCTCCAGGGATTGGTATTATTTCCAGAGACCGGAAGCAATTCCGAGCTGTCTCAGTGACTTTTCCAGTCACCCCCCGGGAGCTGGGGAATATCACTGTCCCAGGGCTTGGCTACACTTGCGAGTTAGAACACATTAAAGCAGCCCTGGGCACCCTAGCTCACTCCCCATCCACACTGGCAAGGCACGTAGAGCGCCCTGACTCCAGGGCTACAGCGCTCCTGGTATTCCACCTCGGCGAGAAGATTAACACTTGTTGCACGTTGGCTGAAACGCCCGGATGTCCGTGTGGACGAGGTGTTGCATTACTGCGCTCTGATCGGCCTCCGGAAATGTCCCATAATCCCCTTAAGTCAAGTGGCCACTCTTGTCATTGCTTTGGATATGCTCTTTGAAAGCTCCATTTCTGACAGCCGGCTGCTTATCTGCCCCGAGACAAAGCAAATATTACTGTGGAATGCTGTGTGTGAGAGAGAGAGAGGCGGCGGCGGAGGAGGGGGGTCTGCTGCTATCTGAACTTACAAAACAGCATGCTGACATGCTCTCAGCCCCCCAAACCCCCCCCCCACCCACACACACATACACACAACATACTCCCTGTCACACTCTACCCCACCCCACTCATTTGAAAAGCACGTTGCTGCCACTTGCATGCTGGGATAGCTACCACAATGCAGTGCTCTCTGTGGCTATTGCAAGAGCTGCTAATGTGGCCACGCCAGTGCGCTGGCAGCTGTCAGTGTGGACAGACTGCAACGCTTTCCCTACCGCGCTCTCCGAAGGCTGGTTTAACTCACAGCGCTCTACAGCTGCAAGTGTAGCCATGCCCCCAGTCTGACAGACTGAGGAACAAAGATGCTGGCTTGTCCCATGTCACTTAGCAGCAGAGTTGAGAATAGAACCCAGGAGTCCTGCCTCCCATTTCCCGTCTCTCCCTCCCACAATGTGTCCCTTCCGAGGGCCAGCCTCACTGTGGGCTATCCGCTGGGAATGGACTCGGGAAAGCTGAAGGACTATCCTTCCTGTGTCGTTTGCCCAAGGTGGACATGGAAGGAGCTGAGCAAGACCAAGACCAGTGGATGATCTGACACAGCTGCATCTTGACCAGGTTAAAGGCTGCTGGCGTCCGCTGGAGCTGAAGGAGGGTAGGAGAGCTCTGCCTTCTGGCTTGGCATTGCCTACGGGCATCAGATGGGACGGCTCGTCAGCACAGGGTCTGATGGACAGCAGCACTTGGAAGCCCTGGTTAGGGAAGTGTCCCTACTGCTGTCTGTCTCGTGATTATTTTGTGAACCGAATCTGGCTCAGCCTCAGGCCCCACAACGGAGCCAGCTGGAGAGAAGCTTTCGGTCTCAGCGCCTGCCCATGTTACCTGCGCCAGGGCAGCTGCTGTTAACGTACAGCTCTACATGGGATCACGGGACGACCGGGATGGGACAGAGCAGCCGGGGCTGGCTTTGTGCGTCTCTGGCGCTCACAGAAATGTGGGGGGTTTCCAATAAATAACACTTCAAAACAATTCTTTGAGGTTTTTTAATAGTAGTATTACAGTAGCGCCTGGAAGTTCACCCAGGATTAAGGCCCCAGTGTGCTGGGTGCTGTACGTATATTTAGTAAGAGACCGTCTGTCACTTCATATAAAGGGGCTTCGCCCTAGCATAGAGCCAGTGACCCAGGGAGCCGTTCTCATTTCGCCTAATGGAGAGTAACCGGGATGCTCACCTGTCATTTCATTCCCAGAGTGACACATCAGAGAGCGCTTTACAAACCCCCCTGTAACGTCCGTCTATCGCGCTGGGCCCAGGAAGTCCCCGGCGGCCAGGCAGTTTAGCTCAGCAATAAGTGGCCTGTCAGTGGCTTTGTTACAGTCCAAAGAACAGACAAAACCAACATGTTTCTCCTGGCTTGGCTCACACGGCCACATCTGGTCAGCAGCCTTTGCAATCAGGCTGCCCTGAGATAGGCCCCCGATTGCCGTGAGTCAGGAGCACAGTGCCTGAGTCGTGTAGATATGGGTGTGACGTTACGCCCCGTATTCTTCCTAGAAATAGGGTTATGATACGAATATGATCTAACTAAGAGAGACTGTGCAAGATGGGTCTTGTACAATATCAGTGGAAAGGTCATGATTTATTGAATGTGTTTATCCAATTTGTATGCATGTATCATTGTTGTATCTGAAGCTGGGAATATTGACCATGTCTCTGTATTTCAAATAGGCTACTTTGGATGAGGCCAAACAATGTTAGTGGCTTATTGAGGAAATGCACACAAGCGCCACCCCAGGAACTGTGTGCAATAGAAACCTCTCAGCGATAGCTCTACAGAATGGGAATTCTTTGACCCAGGTCACAGCAAAAAAGCTTTCCAGTAAGTGGGGGGAAGATATAAAAGAGGGACAATGACAACGTGAGGGGTCCTCACTCTCCCTACAACAACACAGCTGAAAACACCTGAGGAACAAAGACTCATCTGGGAGAAGTGATGGTCCCAGGCTAAGATCTTTAGCTTGTGTAAGAAAACCTGGGAAAGCCGAGGCAACTTGTGCCTTAAGAATCTGCCAGCCCGTTTATCACTGAGGGTGAGAATTTGTTCATTTGTATCCTACCGATCTAGTGTGTTAAGCTCAGTCTGGGGCTTTTGTTTATTTACTAAGGTAATCTGCTTTGTTCTTTTGCTGTCCCTTTAACCTTAAGATTCACCTTTCGTGCCTGTCACGGTGGGCCCCAGTAATAAAGCTCACTTTGGGATCTGCTTGGCCCCAAAGGCAGGTATTTGGCTCCATCCATTAGAGAGGGTGGGGCGAGACACCAAGTTTGGCTCCAGGCCTAAAGTTGGGGGGTGGATGGATGTGGGTTGGTCCTATCTCAGGCTCACTACAGTGTGCAGAAAATGCTTAGCACTTAGCCAAACACTTCAAAGGGCTTTCAGTGGCAGTGCAGTGGGTAAGTACTTATCTGCCCCAAGTTAAGAACATACGAACGGCCATAGTGGGTCAGACCAAAGGTCCATCTAGCCCAGTATCCTGTCTTCTGACAGTGGCCAGTGCCAGATGCCCCAGAGGGAATGAACAGAACAGGTCATCACCAAGTGATCCATCCCCTGTTGCCCATTTCCAGCTTGTGGCAAACAGAAGCTAGGGACACCATCCCTTCCCATCCTGGTTAATAGCCATTGATGGACCTATTCTCCATGAACTTCTCTAGTTCTTTTTTGAACCCTGTTATAGTCTTGGCCTTCACAACATCCTCTGGCAAGGTGTTCTACAGGTTGACTGTGTGTTGTGTGAAAAAAATACTTCCTTTTGTTTGTTTTAAACCTGCTGCCTATTAATTTCATTTGATAGCCCCTAGTTCTTATGTTATGAGAAGGAGTAAATAACACTTCCTGATTTACTTAAGTCCCAGTCTTATTAATCTCTCCTCATACAGCAGCAGTTCTCATCCTAATAATTTTTGTTGCCCTTTTCTGAACCTTTTCCAAGTCCAATATTTCTTTTCTGAGATGGGGCAACCACATCTGCATGCAGTATTGAAGATGTGGGCGTAGCATGGATTTATATAGAGGTAATATATTTTCTGTCTTCTTACCTGTAACATACAATAGTATCTGAGCTCATCACAAGCCACAATGGATTTATCCTCTCACACCCTAGGCACAGCAGTGCAGTTATCCCCATTGTACAGAAGGGGAACTGAGGCATGGGGAAAGTGGGACCTAGCCCAAGCAAGTCTGTGGTAGAGCAGGAAATTGAATTCAGCTCTAAGTCAGCACCCTAACCCCTGGACCATCCTTCCTCACTGTAGGAGCTTAGCACCTTCCATCTATGATAGATCAGTCCATATTTTACTCTAAACTCTGCCTTGTATTGCCATCTCCTAGGGTTGGAGTTAAGGTTACAGGGTGATATTTTGGGGATTTATTTAAATATTGTGTCTGGAGGATGGAGATATACCTATCTCATAGAGCTGGACGGGACCTCAAAAGGTCATAGAGTCCAGCCCCCTGCCTTCACTAGCAGGACCAAGTACTGATTTTTGCCCCAGATCCCTAAATGGCCCCCTCAAGGATTGAACTCTCAAACCTGGGTTTAGCAGGCCAATGCTCAAACCACTGAGCTGTCCCTCCCCCCCGATGAAGTGACTTTTGAAGCCTGAGAGAGAAGATGTGGCCCCCTGGCTTTACTGTCTGGTTTTTGTAAATGGGGTTTAGGAACCTTTTAGCACAGAGAGGTGAAATGACTCGCCCAGTGAGCCAGGAACAGAGCCCCGGCGTCCTGCCACCCTCTCTGCTGGCCCGGGTGGTACACGCTCCGGCCTGCTTGGCTCAGGGAAGCCAGCTGATTACACTCAGGAGAACCAGCCAGTCACTAGTCCATGCTCTGTGCTCAGACCCATCTCCCAATCCCAGCTGAACCATAGGGTTCTGGTGGCCCTGGGTAACAAGGGCTGTCCCCTACATGAATGGTGCTCATAGTAACCGGGGGGGGGAGGGGGAGGGAGCACAGAGCAGGGGAGCTTGGTGTCACTAGGGGGAAAGGGGTTGCTTCCTAGGGTGGACACCCCCTGCAGGCTGCTTTGCTGCGCGCTGAGGGTCAGCCCAGCACTGCACAGGAACCCCGGAAAGACAAAGGCCCTGTCGCAGGACACAACAGGAGGGCCAGGATGACGGGGCTGCTTTCTTCTGGCCCTTTAAATCTCCAGAAAGGGAAAGTTTGGAGGAGGGATTTGAAAGGGGGAGAGGGGCCTAATGCCCGTGGGGGAGGGGCTAGGTCGGCAGTCCCAGGTGTAGGAGAAGGCATGAAGACAGGAGCAATGGGAGTGGGGCAAAAGGGGACGAAAGGTGGGGGGCAAACAAAACCTCTGAGTGGTGGCTGCAGCCTGGGTGTGTGCACGCGTGCGCCGCTCGTTCATACAGTGCAGCAGACCTATCCGGGAGACTCCCGTTCCTTCACAAACAGTGCAGCTTGTGTGAACCTGAGTCTCATCTCACAGCTGCTGGTGTGAACGCAGAGTACTCTGGAGTCGCTCTGGATTCACGCCAGTGGAAATGAGAACAGACTCTGGCCCCTATACATACAGAGCAGAGACGGGCTCACGTGCAGCTCGGGCAGCGTGGCAAGGCCGTACGCACGTGGGCACACACACCCCCACCAGACCCAGCCTTTGAGCATCTCTACATGGCCCCCAAACCCAGACACCCCTCAGCTCTGGTGCAGCACCAGCTGGACCCCTGGCAGGGCAGGACGGGGCCCAGCCTGGCAGCCCCACCTTGGCCGCGAGAGCTCAGTCCAGGCCGGTGTAGGTGAGTTCAGCCATGCCGTCGGGGATGGCCCGGAAGTACTCCAAGCTGGTCCTGTGCATCTTGCACTGGTACTTGCCACAGGTCTTGACGTACTGCAGGAAATGGGGCGCGCCGGGGAAGACCACGTTGTCGGCCACAATGGTGGCTCCCTCGAGCAGCAGGCCGTGGGCCTCCAGCAGCTGCAGGTCCCGCAGGTAGCAGCGCTTCCAGTGGTCCATGAAGACAAAGTCGGCCTTGAGCAGGCCGTGCTTCTCCTTCAGCTGCGGGATCACCTCCTCTGAGGCGCCCACAATCAGCTCCACCTGCGCTGGGGAGAGGTGGGGAGGTCAGCAGGGGGTCCCCCCCAATGAACAGCATGGCCCTCCTGCGGGATCTCATGGCACGGTGCAAACCAAGGGGCCAACCAGCCTGGGATCGGCCCTTTAAAATGCAACCGTCTCTGGGGTGGAATTCAGCAGCTTGTTCAACAGCCAACAGGAACGCTGCTCGGCCGTTTGAGACAGGAAGTGGAGAGGAGTAGCTCAGCCAGTTGAAACCACAGGGGGACCGGAGGCAATTGACACTCAGATCGCACAGTCTGGGGAAGTGAGGCTACGAGATTGGGTGTTAACCAGTGTCTGGGCCAAATTCCGAGCCAAGGAATTCTGTTCTCCCATCTGCAATTCCCTTGGCTGGGGCCTATGCTGGCTGCTGCCCCCCGGTGCTGGAGCAGAAACGCTGTCGGGTTCTGCCCCCAGAGCCACTCTCTCCTGGCAGCCTCTTTTCACTGAGGCTAGTTCAGAATAAGCTGGGAGCCAGCCATGCCTCTATAGTCCATGGAAAGCACTGGGGGAGGGGGCTACTCACAGTGTCCTCGTCGAAGCCGGCCAGGCGGATGACCTTCTCGGCCACTGCGGCATTGCGTGGGTCCATCTCCACGGTGTAGAGCCGGGCACCCATGGGCAAACACTGGGCCATGAGGATGGTGGCGTAACCACAGTACGTGCCCAGCTCTAGCACGGTGAGCGGCGTGTTCTCATAGATCAGACGGTCCAGGATCTTACCTAGAGGGCAGAAGGAGCCTCGCCAGGTCAGCTCACCTGGAGACGCGCGCGCCCCCTCCAGCCCCACACTCTAGGTAACCCACCCAGAAGGTGGAAAAGCCTGATGGGGCCATCTGGGCTCCCCAACCTTGGCCAGGGCAGGACTGTCCCCTGAGGTCTGTTCCCCAGGGCTCTGTCCTCTCCAGTTCTGATCACCCCAGGTAACACGGCTCCTAACTGGGGGAACTGATGTAAATCAAAAAGCGTTAAATCACCAGTTTTAATCGGCAAGGAGGAAACCTTGTTTTAAATCATCAATTTCAATCACGTTTTGCATTTGTACTTTTTCGTTACGTTTCCTCATGAAAGATTGCGGCTCACTGGTTTGTTACCATTGAAACATGTTGAGTTGCAAATAAATCTAGCCTCTGTAACTAAATGGGGGGCTTGTTTTGCCAACCCGGAGGCTGAGCGACAGCTATACACATTGACTTAAGCAATGACTTCGCTTCACGGGCATTTCTTTAGATTCTTCATTTTTAGGTTTTTGTGTGTTAGAAAATTGTGAATGATGCATTTCCTTTTACTAGATGGTTAACTTTTTACTTGTGATTTGTGTGAAGATCTATTTGAATAGAAATTCAAATTCAATTAAAAATGCAAAAGAAAAAAAAGAAAAATTTAAACTAAAACTACCTTACATATGCTCAGGGCCGTCAAGATTGGGTTCGGGCCCCCCCAGCAGGGGCGGTGAAATTTTTTTTTCGGGTCCCCCAGCAAGGGCGGACTGGCTAAACAGGGCCAACGAGAGCGGGGGAAGCCGGGCCCTGGGCCCCCTTCTGGACCGCCGGGCTCCGGTAAGGCAACGAGAGCGGGGGATGCCGGGCCCTGGGCCTCCGTCGGGCCCCGGTAATTTGTACCGGCTTCTCCCCCCCTCGTCAGCCCTGAATATGCTGCATACATATGAAAAAGAAGTTTATCAAAACATATTTTTTATGTAAAACTAACTGATTTATTAAACCAAGGAAGTATGATGTGGCGTTAGTGAACTGAACTGATTGTTTCTGGTCACCACGTCCTTCAAGATTTTAGAACTAGTCGATCTCACCCTCTCACATACCTAGTTTTTATTCAGAGATTGGAAAAGGAATACAAGCTTTCCTGCCTTTTCAATTCCCACCTGGTTTAGGACATTGAATGAACTAGTCATTGAACCAAACTGCCTGAATAAACTGAAATGAAGAAAATATTCTCGTTGCAGCCGTAGAAAAGGCTACTGGTATCAAAAGCTCGTTTAGCCCTTCAACAAAGTCTGGGTCCAAGGTCCGGTGACTTCCACCAGTTCAGTAATTTCACTTTCTTAAAAACTTGGCAGCAAACATGCACTACTTAGTATTTTGTGTATTTAATTTAGATTCTAATAAATTATAATAAGTTTAGGCCTTAACATAGGTTGCCAATTTCAAATTTAATTTTAAAGAGGTTTATTTAAATCCAAATAAACCTTGTATCTAATTTAAATGTTAAAAATCCAATTTAAATAAAATAAAATCTTTTTTAAATCATCCTTTTTTATCCACCCTGGCTCTCAGCCTCACCATCTGAGTGATGCTTCCCAGAGATCCTGTTCTTGGGACAATGTCTTTGAGAGGCTACCGAAAAGTCCCGCTTCACCCCATTACTTCCAGCTGTTTCTAAGGAGGCAGAATGGCCTTGTGGTCAAGACACAGGGTTTGGCATTAGAGCTCCTAGGTTCTGCTCCCAAGTGCTGCCACAGTGATCTCAGGCAAGTTACTTTCCTGCTTGGTGCCTCAGTTTCCCTGTCTGCAAGGAAGGTAGCAGTTAGAGGCTAGTGTTTGTACAGGGCCTTTAGGTGCTGTGTCAGTGCTGAATAATAATAAACATTTGGCGCTCCTTGAAGGGTAGGTGCTAGAATAGGGCAAACTCTGAGTTTTCTTCACTGCCTTAAATGATTCCCCCCACTCCTTGACTTTTTACACCCTGGAACTCAGTTTACAAGTGGCTTTGCTCAATTCCTCACGTAGATCAGACTCTGTCCAGCAGAGGGCGATGATGACATATACATAGCGACTCTTATAAATAGTCCCCGTTCCTCCCAACCATATCCCATTCCTCCCAGGAAAGCTCTAATGGGGGGGTGATGCTGCTGGAGAGATTCCCCTCCCCGGCTCCCCACCAGCTAACAGGGAATGCAGCCCCCACTGCTGATGTCCCACGTTGTTCAAGGGGAGGCGCTGGGTTAAGCACAGCTGTGCTCCCCCACACATGCCACCCCAGCTGCGGGTGGGACTACGTGATGTGCTGGCCCTATAGACAGCAGGCAATTTCTCCCCCTACCCTTAAACTCGCTCGCGCGCCTCCCGACGACGCAGCCCTATTCTCAGCGCGCGTCTGGCAGGCGGGTCCGTAATCACAGAGCACTTTACTCTGTGCCATGGGCTCATGGCAGTGAAAGGCCAAAGGGTTTTGCAATGCTGGGACCGCTGCCCTAACGCGCCAGCCATCAGCCTGAGCAAAGAATGGGGCCGCCGGCTGCGGCAGTCTCAGAAGGCAGGGACTGTGCACTGCACGTAGGGGGACATTTACCACATATAGTCTCAAAATGGGGTTTCAGTGGGACTCCTAGGGTACTGGCTGTGACACTCCGCACCCCATACTCACCATAGGAATATGATTATGATATAATTATGATGCATCTTGTACAGATATGTCATTGCAGCCAAAGACTGAACGGCCGGGGAGGCTAATTCCCCCATCCCCTAGATCAGGGTTCCTGCAGGTCCGGGGATACTTCACTGAGGCTGCTGGACACAGAGACCCCGTGGTTCTCACTGGCCCCCAGGGCTCAGTGGCTGACGCAGCCTGTGCTGTTGAGTTTCCTGGCACGGCTCCTCCCTGAGGCCTGGGCTGGCAGCTGTGGACGGGACCCCCCGGGACACGGCTCTCCCGATAGCGTGCTGCTGCTCTCCGGTCCCCCGAGGAAAGCCGGGGTCTAGGCTGGCCATAGTGAATCAGCGCTGGGCCAGACCCAGGTGTATTTGTTTCCTGGCACGGCCTTGGCGTGTTTCCAGCGTCAGCACCTCCCACCCAGAGCGGCTGCTCTGTCCTCCCAGGCTTAGCAGGCTGGAAACTTAACCCTCTGCCTGCAGCTCCTGGTATAAGCCAGGGGACCCTCCCCCCTCCTCCACAGGGAGCGCAGCTGAGTGGGGGGCAGGTCTGGCCAGGCCGGCTTCCCCACACTGCTCCCTCTGTGGGAGCCAGGCATTGCCCGGACCAGGGACCCTGCCCGAGCTGGCTACTTCAGGCACCCGCAGCCCTGGGCTGGCTCATTTTAGGAGGGCTTGGGGGGCTGTAGCAGGAAGGCTCCCTGGAAGTCAGTCTCAGACTCCTCACCAGGAACTCTCCCTCCTGGCCTGCTAACTGTAACATCCTAGCTGTGGGGGGCTGGGGCTGGCCTCGCCTGCCTAGGCCTGCTGAGAGAACAAAGGGAGGGCCTAGATGAGCTCCCCTGTAGCTCCAGGGGAGCTACCCAGGGCTTGGGGAGCCAAGGGAGCACGGTTCTAATCCCAGCTTCCCACATGGGAGTGTTCATTAGTGATTGAAGTGAGGTTTTAACTCACAAAAGCTTATGCCCAAATAAATCTGTTAGTCTTTAAGGTGCCACCAGACTCCTTGTTGTTTTTCTAGATACAGACTAACACGGCTACCCCCTGATACTTCATTAGTGATTGTGTCTATAGGAGACATTTTCATCCCCTCCCACTGGGAGGCCAGGAGTCTGTTCTTCCCCCAGCATGGGGGCTTCTGCTGCAAAACTCTTCCCCATGGAGCCATCTAGTGAGGATTCAAACCCCCTGTGATGTTGCAGTCTATATGATTTTATAAAAATATGCTAATGAGTGAATATAATGTAACTGGAATATGCTTCATGCAAAAGATCTCTTGTAAAGTATCATTACAAAGCTCATAATCTACTGAGTGTGATCATCCTATTAGTATAAACGTACCACTCTTGTATCTGAACCTAGCAATATAAAATATAACTCTGAGGACCTATTTTCATTATGCAAAGTTTGGGCCATTAATGGTGGTTTGGAATCTTGATGACTCCCATTAACCAGGACAATTGTCTGCAGATGGCTGTGTTTTACCTGTAAATCTCCCTGTATGCATGTGTGCTGGTAAGTGGGCAATGAAGTCTTGCAGTGACATGTGATCATGTCACCTGAACTGGAATCCATTTTTAACCTGGTGCATTTCCAGTGAGAGGGGGGTGGAAACCCAGAGGGACAAAGGGTTCCCGCCTTATGCAAAAGATATATAAAGGGGTGGAAGAGAACAAAGGGAAGGAGGAGCCAGCATGAGGAATCCCCTAGCTACCACCTGAGCTGGAACAAGCTCTGTACCAGGGGAAAGAATTGTGCCCAGGCCCGGAAGGTGTCCAGTCTGAGAAAAAAACGTACTGAAGCATCTCTGAGGGTGAGATTATCTGTATTCAGTTTGATTAGACATAGCTTTGTGCATTTTATTTTATTTTGCTTGGTGACTTACTTTGTTCTGTCTGTTACCACTTGGAACCACTTAAATCCTACTGTCTGTATTTAATAAAATCACTGTTTACTTATTAATTAACCCAGAGCAAGTATTAATACCTGAAGGAGCAAACAGCTGTGCCTATCTCTCTATCAGTGTTATAGAGGGCGAACAATTGATGAGTTTCCCCTGCATAAGCTTTATGCAGGGTAAAACGGATTTATTTGGGTTTAGACCCCATTGGGAGTTGGGCATCTGAGTGCTTCTGAGTGCTAAAGACAAGCACACTTCTGTTAGCTGTTTTCAGGTAAACCTGCAGCTTTGGGGCAAGTGATTCAGACCCTGGATCTGTGTTGGAGCAGACGGAGTGTCTGGCTCAGCGAGACGGTGCTGGGGCCCCAAGCTGGCAGGGAAGGCAGGGGTAGAAGTAGTCTTGGCACATTGGGTGGCAGCTCCCAAGGGGGTTTCTGTGATCCAACCCGTCACCCCCCAATCTGGCTTAGCTACAGCTGCTGCTTTGACTACTAGGCAGCATGGTCCTGGCTAACAGAGCTCGCTCTCTAGAAGCCTTGGAGGGGAAAGGTCGGGCAGCTCCCGCAGCAGCTATTCTAGAGCCAGATCTATTTCGAGGGAAGAATCCCTGCGCTGGCCTCGCACACTCGACCGACGTCCACGGATAGCGCAGAGTTCCCTGCAGAACGTGCATTCATTCCGGCTCTGCCAGGGTGGGGTCTCAGGCCTGGCTCACGTGGAATTTGACTGGGCTAAAGAGAATGACAGCGTCTGGGTGCTAAATGGTAATCCCCTGCACAGGTCTGTCCTGCCCACCCGCCCCTGCCTGGTTCAAAGGGAGAACAACAGCACAAAGACACCATGATGAGCTGGCTAGTGGCTGTGTGCACCACTGCCCTGTTCTAGGTGGAGTCAGGTCTGCTCTCCTGTGTGTCATAAGCCCTATACTGCGCAGCTGTTAATGGGGATTCTCACTTGGCAGAGGTTGGAGCAGAAGGAGCTGCGTTCCATGCCCAGTGTTGAAGTTCTGAGCAATCATGCTGGGCAGCACAGGAGTGTAGTAAGAGGGCCAGGCTGGTGCTGGGGCAGAAGCCCTGCTGTTGTCACCACAGTATATGATTCAGCAGGGAGCGTGCTGGGGCAGCACTGAATTAAGGCCCCAGTGTGGTGATGAGGGGCTGCATAGGGCAGGAGGGGACATAAAACGCATTACTTGTGGCCACTAACGCTCACTGGGTATTTCTCACACGAGTTGTGGGGTTAATGCATGATATAAAAACTTAATAGAATGAGACTGAACTCCTGTGTCCTGGCCAAATTCCATCTGGGGTAATTACAGTACTTTTTACACCTCCCTACATTGCCAGTGGATTTGCTATTTCCCCCCTCTTCCTCTCTCAAATGGTCATGTGACGTTGCTGTGTGCTGTTGAACCGCTGCTGGGTTCCGCCCCAGAGGCGGCTGCATTTCAGTGCCGCACCCCCTCCGGGCTGGGTGAGCCCTTACCTTTGTGAGGCCCCACGTTGCTGAGGTACTCGCAGTGGTAGCACCACTGGTCGAAGGTCTCGAGGATGTGGTGGGGGTCGCCGGGGATGGCATGCGTGAGGACGTACTGGAAGGCCCGCTCCTCCCGGGAGATGCCCGTCAGGCAGTCCTGCAGCCGGCGCACCAGCACCGCCCGGTAGAAGAGCAGGAAGTAGTGCCGGTAGCGGATGATCAAGGTGACCAGGAAGGGGATGAAGGCCAGAGCAATGGCTGGGGAGACCATCTCAGCAGCAGCGCAGAGCAGAGGGTGGGTGGGAGCCCCACAGACCTAGAGACCAAAGGGCGGGTGAGGGTGCCGGAGCATGGATCCATCTGGGTGATTGTAACCTGCTGGGCCAGGGATGTTACGTATCCTCCTCGAGCAGCTGGCCCACATCAGAGGATAACAGCCTACTACTACTACAGCTACCAGCGATTTCATACCCTTCGCTTGCTGCTTGTGAGCTCACCGGGACGGGAATTGTATCTTCCTAAAGCGTTGGAAAAGCTTGTGAGATCTACCATAATACAGCTGAGGCATAACCTAGCTAATGGGGTGTGTGTGGGGATTTTTATGTCCCATTCCCCCCCCTTCCCGCCCCGCCTCCTGCAGCAGACGCAGAGCCCAGCTGCTGCCTGTCAGCGTCTGAGCAGAGCTGTCAACACGTGGAGACCGTTCACAAGGGACAATCAGCCAGAATACATTGTGGGGGCGGTTAGGTTCCCAGCCCAGGAAGAGTCTGGTTTGGCCTCGTCTGGCACTTTACACATATTACAGTAACTACTTAGTTGCTGTACTCCTCTCTTGTAGGTGCAATTCCCCCCCCCCCCATGTTGCAGATGGGGAAACTGAGGCACAGAGCCATTACAGCCACAGTCTCCAAACTTGGGCCTCTGAAGTGAGGCACAAAAGCCCTGAGGTTTCTTAGGGGCTGGTCACCCCGCAGTTCCCACCAAAGCTGAGAGAAGCTGGAGGCGCTCGGCCCGCTCGGGATTTCAAAGCCTCTCTCTGGCCGCCCGTTTGAACGCCCCAGGTCAGAGGCTCACGTTGCATCGTCTCTGTTACAGCGGGGTCGGGAGCCACTGACGCCAGCGGTTACTGTTACCAGCCTCAGTGCCTGGCTCAGGCCCTCGCTCCGCCCTCGAGCCGCGCTGCCTTTGGTGCTGGCGAGTGGCCCCTCAGGGGGGCCAGGTCTGGCTGGCTCGCTGGCGGAAGGAAGCTCCCTGCAGCCCTACACTCAGGTCACACCGGCCCTACAGCTGTCCCTTGCTATGGGAGCTTCCCCAAAACTCGGGGCCTGGATTTCCCAGGCGTGAGGGGACAGGGAGCAGATTTCAGCCCGCGTGACCCGTCTGCAGAGGTTGCCTGGCTGTCTGCAGGAAAGGGCGAGGTGATGGCTCAGCCTGGGGACTGCTCACGGCTACAGTAGCGAGTGGCCCGAGCGGCCCCCCCCGGCGCGTTTGTGCGTCTCACTGAGAGCAGGAGCTCGCCGGTAGCTGTTTAAATCAACCCTGAGATTCTCCTTCACACGGATAAGACTCAGGGGGCCCCTCCAAGCCTCCCCCCCGGCCCCGAGTCTGGCTTTCCATCAGGAAATCCAGTTACCAGGCTCCTCAGGAGTTCCTCCAGCGTCGGAGGCCCCCCCAAGGTGGCGCAGAGCTGCCCCAGCTGTCCCTGTGCCAAGCCCCACTGCAGCCTATGGCGCCGGTGTAACCCCGACAGACCCCAGTCGTTGGCGGGCGGGATCAAACCGGGGACCTCTGAGCTTAGTGCATGAGCCTCTAGTGCTGCGTGAGCTAAAAGCCGCATTCCTTCCCCCAACACCCCCGTCTCATGCCCCTCTCCTGCCCCACTTCCCATGAAGTGTAGCCAGAGGAAAATGCTGCCTCTTGGATTCCCCTCAGCCAGCATCGGGCTCCCTGCCCCAGAGCTGTTCGGAGGGCCTTGCCCCAGTATCTGCTGCCGCTGTATCTTCCTGCTAGGGCTGCCCCGTCTCCCACGTTGCCTGTAGCTAGCATGAGATGAGATGAGCGCCTACCTGTCTGTTCCTTGCCAGCCTGCAGCCAAGGGATGGTCTGTGTAGCCTTTCGGCGCTCGTCCGGGCACCTCTGGCAGTAAGAGACCAGCTGTCCTCCCTCAGCTTCGCTACCCACTCAATTATTGATCGTGTAACCCAATACACTGCAGGAGCCCAGCTCGGGTTACTGGCCCCGTCTGTGCAGGCCGCGGCGCTGCCCCTTTGCCGGGCAGCGTCGCTGGGCTGAGCCCCTTGGCACTCTGCTGGGCTGAGCCCCCTGGCACTCTGCTGCGGACACCCTGGAAAGGTTCCTCTTCTCTAGGGGCACCTCGGCCATTTCCAGGGCAAGGGCACCGGGCATGTGGTGCACCACTGCCTGGGGGGGGGGCGGGGGCAGGGGCAAAGAGCTGCAGGCAAAGTGCAGTCAGCAGATGTTGCTGAATGTCGATGGTCCGTCCGGTTTGCACCAGCCACTTTCCACGCTGCGGGGGCAGATCTTACTCACGGTCCTTTGGCATTTCAAAGAATTGGGCTAATTGCTGGCCGGCCCCTCAGGAGGTCAGGTATCATAATTAACACCCTAGGGTAAAGCTAGGAGCAAGGAGGGATAGCTCGGTGGTTTGAGCATTGGCCTGCTAAACTCAGAGTTGGGAGTTCAATCCTTGAGGGGGCCACTTAGGGATCTGGGGCCAAATCAATACTTGGTCCTGCTAGTGAAGGCAGGGGACTGGACTCGATGATCTTTCAGGGTCCCTTCCAGCTTTATGAGGTAGGTATATCTCCATATATATTGAGGAGGTTAGGGGATTTGCCCATGGTCATGAAGCCAGTGTCCTATGTATCTATCTTTGGGTTTTCTCCGGCAAACTTTGCCATCGTATCTAAGTGCTTCCCAGGGAAATTACATCTGCTGGGCAAGGTTCCCAGTAGGTCTCCTGGAGGCTTCTGCTCCTTTCTCTTCCTGGGCACAGCAGGAAATCCATGGTGAGGAGGAGGCTCTTCACGCCCAGCAGTAGCCGGATGCTGGATTCATCTCATTTCCTTGGCAAACTTATTCCGTAGCCAAATCCCTCCCCCGGCAAACGGCTTGGGCCCGAGCCTCAGCTGGTGTCTCAGTGCAGCTCCACTGCTGTCACATCGGTTTACACCATGTCAGACTCTGGCCCTGTACCTCTCACTCCTGCACTCTGGGGCTGCACTGTCCCGGAGGGCACAATTGCCTGGGCAGGCCACGACTCACAGCTGGAGATGAGTCCCGCCCTGTCGATGAGAGGGGTTGTGGGGGCTCCTAAGGAGAGTCAATCCAAACCCCCCCCGAGTCTCCCAGACAAACCTCTGTGTCTTTGGTTTTCTATCTGTCCCACGGGACTAATAACAATGTGTTGCAGTGTTTCATCGATGGATCTGAAAGCACTTGACAAAGATGGAGTCACAGGCGTAGCCCCGTGCTACGGATGGGGAAACTGAGGCACGGAGAGATGGGGAAACTTGCCCCAAAGGCCTCATTGCAAACAGGAATCTGAACGATTTGTGGTATTTCCAGGGCACACATCACCCTCCCCTCTGCAAGCCGGGTGGTTATGGCGGGTCCCCTGTCACCTAGTCCCTTTTATCTTACCGTTCCACCCTGTTTTCCACAGTGAGATTTCCTATAGTCCAAGAGAGGCACTGCCTCTTTGGGACCTCAGCTGTAACCACAGAGCCTGTCCCCCAACCCCTGGCTACAGCCCCATTACCCGCCCCATCTCTGACAGGCACTGCCTCTTTGGGACCTCAGCTGTAACCACCGAGCCCCGTCCCCCCAACCCCTGGCTACACCCCCCTTTACCTGCCCCCATCTCTGACAGGCACTACCTCTTTGGGACCTCAGCTGTAACCACAGAGCCTATCTGCCAGGCAACCCAGGATTAGGGTGACCGGATGTTTCACTCCATATTCTTTATGAAAATATGCTTACAATATGAATAGGACAGAACTGAGCTATCCTTTATGCCAGATGGCTCATGTGAGAGATCATGGGAAAGGTTCTGATTTACTGAATGCGATTATCCAATGTGTATGCCTGTATCATTTCTGTAGCTGAAGTTAGGAATATTGATCTGTATTTCAACTATGCTACTTTGGGTGACGCCCACTGCTCACACTTCAGGTACAACAATGGAAAAGCCAGGCAGGGCTGATGGCCCATCAGCGAGGACAATGGACTGGGAAAAGACTTGGCCTTCCTGAGGACGCTCCCTACTGCCACTGACTCATGGACGCTGTGATCCTACAGAGTCAGTTGGTCTTGTCACCTGATACTAAACATTACCTGGCACTTCTTGTAACTTTCCACTGGAAGGGGGGAGGGGTCAAGTTTGGGAAACAAAGGATTCCCGCCTTGTGTCAATCCTATTTAAGCTTTTGCAGTCCTTGGGCAGACAGGCCATGGAGAGGGGGAGGAAGGCAAACAGGACTCCCCCTCTCCATGGCCTGTCTGCCCAAGGACTGCAAAAGCCACCTGAAGGGAAGGCAAGGGGGGAGTCCAGACTGAGACAGGGGTCTGAAAAGGAATATAACTGGAACTCTGAACCACAGAAACTTTGCAACCTGCCTAAAATAACATCTAAGGTGAGATTTATATTTTGTAACCTGTTTCTTAAGTATATCAAGCTTAGTTTGGGTATTTTGCTTTATTTGGTCAGTAATCTGCTTTGTTCTGCCTGTTATCTCTTATATTCACTTAAAATTCACCTTTTGCAGTTAATAAACTTATTTCTTCTTTATCATATAACCCAGTTTATGTAATTTCTAACTGGGGGGGCAAGAAGTTGTGCACATCTCCCTCCACATTGAGGGAGGGGGCGAATTTCACAAACGCTTTGGGTTTGTCCCCCTTAAAGGGAGTGGACAGTGTCGGGGCAAGTCCCGAAGGTGAATCTTTCCCGAGCGGATTCTGTCTCTCTCTGTGCCACTGGGTGTAGCTGGAAGAGGCTAGTGAGCCTAACCCACCAAGGCCAGGTAAAGGGGACCCAGGCTGGCAGAACAGGCTGACTCAGGGGCACCCCAGCACATCGGGTGACATCCCAAAGGGCCCAAACCCGTCACATCCGGTATCAGGGGCTTTGTCTTATATAGACAACCATGCCCTCCCCCCCCCGCCACCACAAAAAAGTGTCCCCATTTTTCACACTTGTGTTCTGGTCCCCTTACGTAGGAGCAATCCATGTCTGAGCCCCCACACTGCTGCTAGGGGTGAGGGGAGATTGTCACACATGGGAATGCATAAAACTCCCTCCCCCATGAAAAATGAACTGGGGCCCCCAGTGCAGCCTCTTCCCCTCAAATATGGGCAATTATTGCCCTGCTGGTCTCTCTGCGATCCCCGTAGCTTTCCTGCTTCAGTCCCCTGCCCAAACCTCACACCCTCCTGGAGGAAAACCGAACCTGGCACCCCTGCTCCCCCTGCACACGCCGGCTCCCTCACATGCTCTCTGTCGCGCACACGCCCCTGCTCATTGGCGCTGACACAGGCTCTTTCGACGAAGCGGGGGATACTTTTTTTTATCATTTCAAACTCTTATTTTTCAAACAAGACACCTCGGCCCCCAGCCGCTCGGCGTGTCATTCTCAGCCCTTTAAACCATGACTTCCCACAAGCAAATGCAGCACCCAGAGTCACAGACGAGAGGGTTTGTGTTAACGGAAAAGTAACTTTCAGCCACTATTTAATCCCTCGACAATACCACTACTACCATTAGGCAAGGAGACGGGGGTATTCCGCGGGGAAGTTTGGATGGGATGGATGAGAACAAAAAGAATTTCACCCCCTACCGCTGCCTATTCCCAGCACTAGTGAGCTTGGGGTGGGGGGATTTCCAGGTGGGGTTTCCACTTTCTGAAACTCCTGCGAGACCAGGAGGAGAGGGACAGTTGTCTGGAGCTCAGTGGTGCCTCCTTCAGGGAAGCGAAGCAAATGGTGTTTGCCCAGGTGCTGGAGTCATGAGCAGTCTTTGGTGGATGGTCTTGGGGCAGGCAGGCAGTAAGAGTGGGGTGGAGGGAATGGGGTGGTGGGGAAGGATCACATTCCAGTGGGATGACGGGGGGGAGGGGCGGGGTGAAGCCTCCACGAACTGGGTTGCTTGTTCTTATCATGGATGCTGGATGGGCTCCGCATTCCCTCGTTACCGTGCTGTGCGAACCCTACAGAGAGAGTGGTGAGAGTGTGGAAAAGCTGGGCTGCGTGAGCCTAATTCCCCGCCAACGGACTGGCTCCTCAGACATTCTCCAGTGTCACAGGGTCGCCGAGCAGTTTGTAGCAGATCACAAAGTAGGGGTAGCACTGGGAGTTGTCGAAGATCACATAGACACCGGGCTTGTGGGCGTTGTCGCTGCAGGAGTCGTAGCGACACCTGCAGGATTCCCTCACCGGCGGCTGGGTGTACCCGGGACTCCCTAACACCCACTTGCCCACCAGGACCTTGGCCAGGAACATGTGGCGGCGGTCGGCGCGGTTGGCCAGAGCGAAGATGTGGGCGCAGTTGGCGTAGCAGGAGAAGTAGCTGCCATGGCCGTACTGGGCACCGTGCTTTCCAGAGAGATGGGGGTTAAAGTTCGCCCGGCAGATGGGCTCCACGTTGTCGGCTGAGGTCCCGTGGAAGAGGTGCCTCTCCAGGAGCCGCATCTCCTGGGCCAAGAGTCCTCGGGACATTCGCTCCTTCTGGCTGAGGTGGGTGTAAAGGATAAACAAGGGGGTTTAGAGTCACTGCTGGTGCACCCCCACTATCTGCTCCCCTGGCCACTGAACACCTCAGCGGGGGATCCAGACACGAGCCCAATTCCCTCTATGACGCGTACGTTCTCTCTTCTTGCTGTCCTGCATCTTCCTCACTAAACAGCTCGGCATCTCCTGCCCAGTCAGGTGCTGCACCGCCTGCCTCAGGCGACTCCCCTCAACCCCACTCCTCTCTCTGCTCAGGATTCTCCCAGCTCCCTCTCCTCTCCTGGGTCCATCCCACCCCGCTTCCTCTCCTCCACCCCAGGCTCTGGCTGGGACGTGTCTCTTCTTCTCTCAACCTCCAACCCCATCACTCACTTGTCTCTCTCACCCCCTCGCTCATCATCGTCAGCCTCTCTACCCTCTGCCTCCTTTCCCTCGGCCTTCAGCCCTCCCCAATTCACCACAGAGCGTTCCTTCACCACGACCTGCTCTCCAGCAGCTGGCCCGTTTCCCTTCGCCTCCAAACTCCTCATTGCCTCTTCCTCTCATCCCGCCCTCAGTCCCCCCAATCTGCCCCCAAGACTGTTCCCAGGTGGCTCCTTCAGGCCCGGGCGAGGGCCCCCCCTCATCCTCCTTGATGCATCTCTCCCTCCCCTGGGCATCCCATGATGCTGTGCTGTCCCGGCTCCCAGCCCCTCAGCCTTCATGCCCCTCCTCACAGCACGACTCTTTCCTGAAGCCCTCTGAAGTCTTTCTGTCGAGCCGGATACGGTTGGAAAGGACACGCTCCAGGTCAGCCGCAAGACAACAGGGTTGGAGTCGCTGAGGAAAATTCTGAGGCCAGATGATTGTACCCCTGCGATGGGTCTCCTGAACCAACCCTTAGATACTCCTCCCTTAGGCCCACCCAGAGAAGATAACCCACCTAGTCATGCCCACAGCACCGGCGTCAATGGCTTAATGGTGGGGTTAAAGCCGGTGACCTGGTCTGACCCCTGCCCCATCTCTTGCAGAATCCGTTCCTCTTCCTACCTGCTGTATTTTTTCCAGAGTGCATCGTTCCGGATCCTGTAAATCTTCAGCACCAGCACCATGTCCTCTGGGACAGACGCGTGGAAGAGCTCACAGATCTTGCGGTACACCGCTTCCGACGAGGCCACCTCTGCATGAAGGAAGGCCTGGCCACAGGGCGGCTGGGGAACCCAGGCGGCTGGGTATGGGCCACAATACCCGTCTGTGGGTCTCTCCCCGGGGATGATGGATGTGGAAAGATGGAAGAGTCCCCAGGAGCCCCTAGGGACTGTCCTAAGGAGATAAGGAGATGGGAGATGCTGGCCAGTCAGAACGTAGCTTGGATCCCTCCAGCCATGGAACTGCCCAGGGAGTCACTTACCGCAGATACCGTGCCATGCAGCTCAGGGAACGATAGGCAGGTCGGCGCTGGATCTGGATGGGTTGGACAGATCTCTGGCCTTCAGTGCTCCACTGAGGGGGTCTCAGATCCAGGGTGTAGAGCCTGCCCTGGAGCCAAAAGGTGGGTTCCTGGGAGCCCCTCTCCAAGGCTGCGAGGAGGTCGCGGGGGACAGGCTGAGCAGAGAGCGGAAGGAAAGTCGAGCCCTTAGCGTGACTGAAAGAGGAAGACCCTTACACGCATTGCTCCTTGCCACAGGACCCAGTCCTGCCCTGGAGGAACCGTCCAGTCCCGGGAAACCAGTCTCCAGCTTCATCCAACCCTGGGCCGGCCATCCCATCTCCCCGGGATGCGCCAGCCCTACTTTGGAGAGCTCCCCCTCGCCCCCCCTTTGGGATCCCCCTCCCCCTTCACCTCCTGGTAACGCTGCCACGTGTCTCTGTGCTTCCAGTACACCTGCCACCTGGTGTGGAAGCGAGGATTCTGCTTCCAGTCCGAGGTGCTGCCCAGCCGCCTCACTCCATTAATCACGTCCGAATAGTCCATCTCCATGGTGTCCAGGTCCAGGATCCCAGACAACTGGTTCCTAAGAGGGGAAAATAATCTCACCCGTCGGCCCTAGGGGGCCCTTTTCGGGGAGGGGTCGGGACCGGGGTTCCCCAAAACACCTACAGTGGGGGAAATCTGAGGCACTCCCAGTACGCGGCTCCTTCCGCTTTTCCCTAGAGCTTCTGACCGGGAGACGCTGGGGAACCTGCCTAGCCAGCACTCCTGCCCTGGCTGGGATGGGAGCAGCTGGGAGATCGCTCCCCAGAGCCTGGTGCAGGCCCCCGTGGGGACAGACGGGGCGGGAGCGTTCCCATCCCGTACCTGCCCAAGAACCGCACGAGGCCGTTTGTAGCGTCGCTGTAGAGCTTCTCCAAGTGACGCTGAGACGAGTCACTCAGACTCTGCCACTCCACCCTTCTGCTCCCCCTGATCTGCCAGTGGAAGGGGTAGCGGGTGTGGTGGAGTGGGCAGCTCTCCCTCCGGGGGCAGTGCCCGAGCAGGAAGCCGTCACAGATCTGGATGCCGTCTTCCTGGTGGACGTGGAAGGGGACCCCGTCCTTGCTGACCCATCGCTCCGTGGAAGGTGGGAAGCTGCACCAGCGTTTGGCAGGCATGGGGGATGGACTCTGGGGGGCCGCATCCCTCGTGGATGACGTAGGGGAGCCAGGGCTCACAGTGTCGGAAGAACTCAGATCCTGGATAGTTTGGGGAGCGGGAGAGATGGAGACACTTTAAGACAGGGGCAGGCAAACTTTTTGGCCTGAGGGCCACATCGCGTTTAGAAAATTGTATGGAGGGCCGGTTAGGGGAGGCTGTGCCTCCCCAAACAGCCAGGCGTGGCCCGGCCCCCACCCCCTATCCGACCCCTCCTGCTTCTCGCCCCGATGCCCGCCCCCGGACTCCTGCCCCATCCAACCCCCCCGTTCCCTGTCCCTTACAGCCCCCAGAAGCCCCGCCCCTGAGTGCCCCCCGCCACCCCATCCAACCCCTCCTTCCTGACTGCCCATCCGGGACCCCTGCCCCCATTCAACCCCCCCTGTTCTCTCCCCAACCACCCTGCTCCCTATCCACACCCCCGCCTCCGGACCACACCCCCGAACTCCCCTGCCCTCTATCCAACTCCCCCTGCTCCCTGCCCCCTTATCGCGCTGCCTGGAGCACCGGTAGCTGGAGCCAGCCATGCTGTCGCCACGGCGGCGCAGCACAGAGACCGGGGCAGGCCAGGCTCTGCAGCGGCACTGCCCCAGGAGCTCGCAGTCCCACCGCCCAGAGCGTTGCGCCGGCGGTGGAGGGAGCTGAGGAGGCGGGGGAAGGGAGACAGCGGGGGAGGGGCCAGGGCGAGCCTCCCGGGCCAGGAGCTCAGGGGCCGGGCAGGAGGGTCCCACAGGCCGGATGTGGCCCGCGGGCCGTAGTTTGCTCACCTCTGCTTTAAGGAGATGCGAAGCTGCTCTGAGACTTGGCCGCACCTACCCCCTTATCCACTGCCCCCTCCCCATCAGTGTCTTCATCCCCCCTCCACGCATACAGACCCGCACGGCTCCCCCCATCAGAACCAGCTCTCCTGGGCTCCAACCCATCCCCCCAGCCTTGCCCTGCAGGGACCCGTCCTCCTGGGCCCCGAGAGGGGAATTCCCTCCATTTCGGTGGCTCATGAGGTCCGTTTACCGGCTGGGGCTGGCGGTGGATTGGGTGGGTCCCCTCAGCGCCGGGCTCCTGTTCGGGATCAGCCGGGGAGATTTTCCTTTGGGGGCTACCCCTCAATTGGTTGAGGATCCCTATGGAGATCCTCTGGCCCATCCCCTCCCACACCCGCCGTCTGTTTCTCTTTGAACAGGAGGGTTCTTAGAACATCGGGGTGTCCCACGACGCCGATTGTTGGGTTTGTCCGGCAACACGAAGCCGCCGCCGGCCGAGCACCCCCAGTCACCCCAGAAGCACCCCAGGGGGCCAGGAACTGCCGGGGCTGCTTCTTGCCACTGGAGTCAAGCGCCTTATTTTTTTTTAATCATCTCTTTCCGCGCGTAAACTATTTGTTTCAGAAACAACGTGGCAAATGTTGCTGCTCCCCCGCAGCCGCTGGCGCTCAGATGTCAGGGTGACGTGGGCCCCAGAAATGCCACAGATTGTTCTGACTCATGGGGCAAGTCGCCCCATCTCCCTGTGCTCGGTTCCCCCATCTGTACACCGGGGCGACACATGCAAATCCAGCTTTGTAAAGGGCCGTGAGGTCCAGAGATGACCCCGGGCAAGTGTCACCCCTTTGGAACTGAGCAGTTAGCTAAATTTGGGGTAGCGCAGGCAGGAGGAGAAGTCAAGGATAGCATCAGAAACACCTGCCTCTCCCTTGTTTATTTACGAAGATGATACAGAAAGTTCCGTTTCCCTGAACATAGTGGGAATCGAACAGCAGGAGACGCCGGTTCCTTTGCTCGCTGTTCCACGCCTGCCTTTCCCGCCTGCACTCTGTGCCCAAAAAGCTCGCTCTCTCTTTGCTTTCTCTCAGGGCCGCGTTACTGGCACTTCTGGCTACTTGGCTTTCTTACTGCTTGCCACTCACTGTCCTGCTTTTCACTCGCCCAACCTCCCACCCCCAGCCCAAATGATGCCCAGCCAACCCCTGCCCCCATAGTTCCAATCCCTGGACCCTGAGTGGCCCTACATGTCCCTTTGGTTTGGCCAGAGATATGGGCCTGCTTAACCATTTCAGCCCCTAGTTACAGCGGGCATCTTTACATGGAGCCTGATTGTAAAGCCGCAGCCAGACTCGACCTGGAACAAGACTTAACCCATTCCACCCCACTCCTATTATTAACCTACCTGACAGCTGGAAAACCGGAGACACCAGAAATTGCCTGGCTCGGCGCGCATTGCAAAACCGTGTCTCATGTTGTATCTGAGAACGGGCGTGTGAGATTACATAAGTGTTTCCTGCTAGGGAGGTTTGCTAGGCTGCAGGATAGGGGAATGGTTTGTGAGAAAATCAGGACGTCTAACTTATTTAAAACTGGCTGCTGGCCAGAGCGGTGGAGAATACCTCCCAGGAGGGGGCAGTCCTGCGCTGGAAGAAATGGACTAGGCCAGGGGTGGGCAAACTTTTTGGCCTGAGGGCCACATTGGGGAATAGAAATTGTATGGCGGGCCATGAATGCTCACAAAATTGGGGTTGGGGTGCAGGAGGGCTCTGGTTGGGGGTGCGGGGCTCTGGGGTGGGGTTGGGGATGAGGAGTTTGGGGTGTAGGAGGGCACTCTGGGCTGGGACCGAGGGTTTGGCAGGCAGGAGGGGAATCAGGGCTGGGGCAGGGGTGCAGGAATGGGTACAGGTTCTGGCTGAGGGTGCGGGATCTAGGGTGGGGCTGGGGATGAGAGGTTTGGGGTGCAGGAGGGTGGGATTGAGGGGTTTGGAGAGTGGGAGGGGGATCAGGGCTGGGTTAGGGTGTTGGGGTGTGGGGGGAGGCTCAGGGGTGCAGGCTCCAAGCAGCGCTTACCTCAAGCGGCTCCCGGAAGCAGTGGCATGTCCCTTCTCTGGCTCCTACGCAGAAGCGCGGCCAGGCGGCTCTGCACGCTGCCCCGTCTGCGGGCACCGCCCCTGCAGCTCCCATTGGAGCGCATAGGAGCCAGAACGAGGCCATGCCGCAGCTTCTGGGAGCCGCGTGGTGCGGCCCCGACGCAGTGTCCCAGTGGGAGCGCTGGAGGGGGGCTGAGCCGCATGTTCCAGCCCCCGACCCAGCGCCCCGGCCAGAGCGCTGGAGAGGGGCCGAATTGCATGGTGCGGCCCCCGACCCTGCTCCCCAGCGGGAGCTCGTGGGCCAGCTTAAAACAGCTCGTGGGTCAGATTTGGCCTGTGGGCCGTAGTTTTCCCACCCCTGGACTAGGCGCTGATTCGGGTCTTTTCCATTTACACTGTTTGCTTGACAGTTCACTGGGGAGTCCTTCGTTGGGCTCATGTAGCCAAAGATCAACAAGCGGCCGATTAATGAGCAGAATATTTTTATTGAAGCAAATTCCGAAGCTGAGCCCAAACTGGCAATATACTTGCCACCAACGCATGCAGGTATTTGCACAGGCAGTTACTAGCGTTCCACGCACAGCCGCAGTAACTGCGCATGCCGGTAACTAACTGGACGTGTAATTGGTCAGTTGGCCCAGAGTCACAGACGTTATCTACACACATCGCAACGCTTGGAGGTACAAAAACCTGGCCTCAGCTTTGCAGGAGGGGCGAAGAGATGGAGGTGGAGACGGAGCATTTGCAGAGTGTCTTGGGAGGTCATTTTAGGCACCCATTCCCCCACGTGACTGCTGCTGTTTTCATTCCCTGGCTGGCACCCCTCACCCCCTTTCTCCTATGTCCCCCCACAAGCTCTCCCTTCTCTGATCTCACCTCTCTCCTGGCCACCAGCATGTTCTCCCTACAGCAGGGGTGGCCAACCTGTGGCTCCGAGCCACATGCGGCTCTTCAGAAGTTAATATGCGGCTCCTTGTACAGGTACCGACTCCGGGGCTGGAGCTACAGGCGCCAACTTTCCAATGTGCCGGGGGTGCTCACTGCTCAACCCCTGGCTCTGCCACAGGCCCTGCCCCCACTGCACCCCTTCCCGCCCCCTCCCCCTCGCCTGCCGTGCCCTCGCTCCTCCCCCTTCTCCCCCAGAGCCTCCTGCACGCCACAAAACACCTGATCGGGAGGTGTGAGGAGGGAGAGGGAAGTGCGGATCGGCAGGGCTGCCAGTGGGAGGGAGGCGCTGGGAGCGGGGCGGGAGGACTGATGGGGGGCTGCCGACGTATTACTGTGGCTCTTTGGCAATGTACATTGGTAAATTCTAGTTCCTTCTCAGGCTCAGGTTGGCCACCCCTGCCCTACAGCTAACGGCATGGACCTGAGGTGGGGGGCTGGCTTGTCTGTGCCTCTGGTCTCCTTGGTCTGCACACACCCTCCGGAGGGCGCTTGATTCAGCTGCTTCCTGGTTGAGTTTCTGGATCCCCTCTGTCAGTGACTGGGGGGAGGAGGTGCTGTTTTCACGGTAAGAGCCTGGCTAAATATAATACGTTTTCCGGCTGGAGTGGGAAGAATTCACAGCGCGTGCGGGAGGGAGACGTTCTCAGCGCAAAGCCGCGTCCCTCCTCTTTAGCACTGGATCTTCCGCACCGCCCGGGTGAATTTCTTCAGCTCCCTCTCCCCTCGCTGCCACCTCCTCACCCAGGAGATGACCAAGCGGCCGGCCGCCTTGTGGCCCATGGCCAGGACCACGGTCCCCTGCCCGCGGAGTTCTTCGCAGGCGCAGGTCTCACCGTGTGTCAGCCAGAGGACTGGCTTCTTCAGCTCTTCTTCCGACCAGCCTCCCTGCTTGTAGAGGGTCCGGCTCTTAAGCTCCGGGGTCACTTTCAAGTCTCCGTCCACGCTGGACAGCGCTTTGATGCTCATTTTCAAGGCTGCGGGAGAGAGGGAGTCAGTGAGTGTTGAACAGAATGCAGGGAAACAAAGGGGGCGCTCGGCCAAACGGAAGCGGCTCAAAGGAATGACAAAAACTCATCTGTGGAACTTGCTGCTGCAGGAAAGTACAGCGGCAGCCAGCGCAGTGAGAATTTTAGGACTAGATGTTGCTAAGAGGAGCGTCTGACTCTGCAGTGACATGAGCTTAGGATATAACTGTAAGGGCGACTATAGTTGGCCCATTTAATGAAGCAGGGC